AAAAAATCATAAATGATTCATTTTATGACGAGTTTTCTCTATTATTACACTGCTAACTCAAGTTGTCCTAATAACTACCAGAAAACTTTCAGTGTAATAAAAAAAAATTTAATTGACATTAGCAACCTGTAAACTGCATGTATAAGTTGGCAATATTAAATCAATGTATAGGTATATTATATATTTAAAAAAAATAACAGCGGAATATAGATAGACAATTTTTGTCTAATTTTATATTTTCTGCGCTTGTATATTACTATTCTCGTATATGTATATAATTGCCAGAGGGAGCGCGAATAGCGGCATTGTGGTATATAGTCGGCCAAATTTCAAATTTACGATATGCAGTTACCGATTTTGACATTCTGATGTTTATGGCCTGTTTATGTGAAGCGAGTTTCATTTGGTTTTTTTCTCACATGAAAAGTTTTCTAAAAGTTAACATAACTCACATTGTAATAATAATCAGAAACTAATAACAATAATTTTCTCCATTCAAGCCTCGTTAAAAGTAATCAAATGTTTTAATTTTTAATTTTTTTGGACTCTGGGTGCGGTAAAATAATTTGGATTTGTATGTAATATCGTACTTTTAATGTCAGCATTTTTTGGTTAATATAACTATTTTAAGCTCAAAGTTCTTTTTTTTCAGAAACGATTTTGTCTCAATGGCTAGATATAGGTAATTACGAAGAAAACAAATCATTGATGAACCAACCAATTCGGGCAAGTATTGGTATTGTTATGGTACGGATAACAATTACGAGAAAAGACTCGTTATGATAGTGATGTTTCGGTGTACTGCGTCGGTGCGATGACGTTGAATCGTGAATCCGACGTGCAGTGGAAGTTTCTGAGATGTGACTTGATGAAGTCGTGACTGGTGAAGGCGAACAAGAGTCAGCTGGGGTGATCTCGTTCGTGCCTTTGAAGGTCTGAGAGTTTAACCGACTGGTAGAAGTTGATTTCGATCGCTACCTTCTGTAGATCGTTCAAACTCTCAAGTAATTCTTCTCCTTAGCCGTCTGTTTGAAAAGTAAGCAATGAACTTACTTTTCAGGTAGAGTGGCTAACCCGTTTCTCAATCAATGAAAATCAGGATTTGTGTTCAACCCGGAACATGCCGGAGATTTATTTCGATTCGGATAATAAGCATTTTCGGCCACGGTTCATTTGTGGGTTACAAGCTTTTTGCGAGTCCGCCACCTATCGGTTTGTTTACATATTATATAAATAAACAAAAAGAGTGCGCTGCTGTTATAACAGCGCAGCATATAACATTATTTATGAACAGTTACATGGAGCAAATAAGTAAAAAAGAATTAATTATTTCTCATTTATATTAATTAATTATTTTTTGTTCGTACCAATCTGTTCTGTTTACTTGGTGCTTTATGGACACATATTTTATGTCTAGTTTGTTAAATTCTAAAAATAAATTTCCTGACACTATAGTTAGAAAATTCATAATTAATGCGGAATTGTTTTATATAACAATAAGATATTCAATTCTGTAATAATGACAAATTTCTTGAATATTAGCTCAGGTCTGTCTATATGTATACATTAGCATAGAATTTTCACTTTGTGTACTGTACCCAACAAATTAACTTTGTTTTTTTTTCTTTATCTCGATAACTTAGCGTAGTTGAAAGCTTATTTATATACTGTAATTTCCGAGCGCACTGCCCAAAACGCACAATCTAGGAAGCAGTTACAGTTACGCGGTCGGACACTATTAATTTCACTATATACACAGAAGGTTAACGGTCGTTCGACGATAATCATTCGATAATATTTCTCGTGTCTAATTGATCTAGTTATTGGCGGTACGATTGCTCAAAAAGTCATCGATACAGAAATGCAAAACAAGTAAAATCGTATACAGTGTTTGTAGTCCATGTAAAGCCCAGGTACACTCGCTCTACGTGCACTTCTAAAATAACCCATTAACGAGCAAAAGTGCAATTTTCTGCATGAATTTTCCGTTGTAAAAAAATTATAGATAAAGTTAAAATAATTTCTTGAAAATCTATACCCAGGGGTTTTTGGCTATGCTCTTTCAGAATTCCGTGTTATTTTTGCGACAAATAAACATTATAATCGATTATTTTCCAATGTTAAAAAAACGTGATTTTTTTTAATTAAATGTTTTTTCCAAAGTCGATTTTCTACCTTGCCCAACTTTTGGAGGATTCTCATAAAACCAGTAATCATGCATTTTTTCTCTGAACCTTCAAGAAACGCGTTGCTGCGATTTCTTTTTAGTCCCAATATATTTCTAAATAGTGGCTCGATACCGAGCAGAGATGCATAAATTCATTCATTTTTACTCGGCAATTATTGACTTTATTAAAAAAGTCATAGAATGAAAAGTGTTTACGTTGAGTCGTTTAAATCGTGTTACGAATACACAACCTAAAAGAGGTTTCATCGACACGTGTCATAAAATCATAAAATCGTATACTGGCCTATACCTCGGCTTCGCCTCGGTTGCTTATTTCACGTGCCCTGGGACTTTTCTATTTTTCCCGGCCTAGGGCAGTAATATACCGAAAATAGCAATATCCCGTTTTGCGCAGGGGCTAAGAAATGCTACTTTCGGGCCGCTGGTATATAATGTTGATTTAGCTTGAGCAATGCACTCGTATAAGAGTAGGGATCGGCGATACCAAAAAAAAAACAATCGATGTATTGAACTATCGAAGTATCGAGACTGCAAAAACTATTGGTATCGAAGTATCGAAAATTGATCAAAAGTATTGCAAGGTATCGAATAATCGAATACTTTTTCAATTATAAATTTTTTTATTTATAATTGAATGGTTAAATACATAATAAATGTACAATGAAAATACATAACTTGTAATTATATAGAATAAAGAACAATTACATTTTAATGTAATATGTAATATTTTTTAAAATTACACAGCTCTACAAAAAAAAAAAAATTTTCAAATCCACCGACCGGACCTAGTGGACTTTATGTTTTTGGGGTCGCTGAATCCGAATCCGGGGTCGGTTTTTCAAGGTTGGCTCATTTTAGAGGTCATTTGAAGGTCAAATAATTGGAAAAGGGTAAAAAATCTGAAAAAATTCATACATGGGTTTTTGAGGATGCTGAATCCAAATCCGAGGTCGGATGACCTTTAGGAGGTCACTTTCAAGGTCATTTGAAGGTCAAACTACAAGAATTCAATGAAAATATCCGAAAAAATCACCCTTATGTTTTGAGGGTCGCTCATTCTAAATCAGAGGTCATTTTGACTGTATCCGGCCTTGTAAAGGTCATTTGAAGGTCATTTTAGGGTCAGATCACGAAAAAAGCTTAAAAAAATCTGAAAATACTCATTCAGAGGTTTTTAAGGATGCTGAACTCAAATCTGAAGTCAGATGACCTCTATGAAGTCACCTTCAAGGTCATTTCAATGTTAAATTTATTTAATGCGATAAAATATTGGAAGAAGTTTGTGCTTAGTTTTTTAAAACTGAATTAATTTTTTAGTCTGAGACATTTAGCGAGCTCACATTCTGGGATAGAGCTGCTTTTTTCCCTACTCAATAAATATAATACATTTTTTCTAAGCTATTTCCCCGCAGTAAAGCAACCAAAAAAATCTCTTTATTTTTTAACAATCAATTTTTACTTCCGTTATTATAAAATTTACCTTAATTTTGTTGACATAGCTTCAGGTAAATTTTTTATAGGACTTCTTTATATGTGAATATAATATAGGCTATTTTATTTTTTACTATAGAATTGGGTCACAAAATTTGAAAAATTCTTCATCAATGGATTTTTCTTCGATTAAAACGAATGCATTTTAAAATTTTGTGAAACAATGTCTGAGAGTGTAAAAATAAATTCACTATAAGTATATCCTTATGACAAAGTAGAGATGAGCCAGGTGGATCGGCATGGGGAGTGAATTGACAAATCGGCATATTTTTTCATATTAATGCACCGTTTTCGTTCGTGATATTGATATGGAGAAATATGCGGTTCTGTTAACTTACTCTCATTCTGACACACTTTTTTCTCTTCTAGTCTTTACCTGCTACCTCGATAAGTTTGATGTCGGTGAAATGAAATGTAATATGTCTTATAAACTGCATTTCTTACATAACCATTCAGATGAGTTTCCGGATAACTGTGGTGATTTTAGTGACGAGCATGGAGAACGATTCTATCAAGACATGAAAAGTATGGAGCAGCGGTATCAATTAGGTAGATAGGATGTTTCGATGATGGCTGATTACTGCTGGATGTTGAAGAGAGAGAGTCAAAATGAGAAAGGCAAAAAACGCAAACGAAAACCATTACGCCGTTCGTTTGAAGAAAAAAAGATGCGTTGCGAAAAAAAAGTAAAAACGCATGCAAAATTAAAAATATTTTCTTAATTTTTTACTTCCTTGTATTAATTTAAAGTTTAAATGACCTTGAAGGTGACTTCATAGAGGTCATCTGACTTCAGATTTGAGTTCAGCATCCTTAAAAACCTGAGAATGAGTATTTTCAGATTTTTTAAAGCTTTTTTCGTGATCTGACCCTAAAATAACCTTCAAATGACCTTTGCAAGGCGAGATTCAGTCAAAATGACTTCTGATTTAGAATGAGCGACCCTCAAAACATGAGGGTGATTTTTTCGGATATTTTCATTGAATTCTTGTAGTTTGACCTTCAAATGACCTTGAAATTGACCTCTTAAAGGACATACGACCTCGGATTTAGATTCGGCATCCTCAAAAACCCATGTATGAATTTTTTCAGATTTTTTACCCTTTTCCAATTATTTGACCTTCAAATGACCTTTAAAATGAGCCAACCTTGAAAAACCGACCCCGGATTCGGATTCAGCGACCCCAAAAACATAAAGTCCACTAGGTCCGGTCGGTGGATTTGAAAATTTTTTTTTTTTTGTAGAGCTGTGTTATTTTTATATCTTGAAAAAACAATTTAATGCTAAGAATTAACGAAAATATTGAATTTATCTTTATTTTTAAATGCTGAACCAATCTTCTAATTCACATGAGTGCAAAAATACTATCATATCCAAATGATCAGGATCCAAACGATTTCTTATTTTAGTCTTCGTTAATCCAGCATTGGAAAACATTCTTTCAGAAGGTACGGATGTAGCTGAACGAACAGCATATTTCATGGCCAAGGGATAAATAGTTGGTAAAGCTTCTTTTTGATTTCTCCAAAATTGTATAGGATCGTCTTCTCTTTCTAATCTTTTTATTTGGTAAAATTGATTGAGTTCTGGATGAATCGCATTTGAATCCAAATGAGCTTTTTTGCGATTTTTTTCCATTATTCTTGACTCTTCATCTAAGTCCCAAACATCGGGCACTTTGGTTTTTTTTATCGGAGATAAATTCAAATCAATTTCATCGTCTACTGGTTTTTTGACCATTTTAATCAGTTCAGAGTTAATTTGATTTTGGGCTTTGATAACTGCCATTGGATTTCTAAAAGAATCTTTTTTGTATCGAGGATCTAAAAATGTAGCATTTGCCAGTACAGAATTAAATTCGAAATCTTTAAATCTTAAATTTATTGAATCTAAAATTTTTTCTTTAAATTTAATACCGTCCTTGGAACTTGGTTCCAATACTTGGATGCATTTTTCCAATCCATTTATAATTGGTATTATAAGACCACGGGTAGGGTAATTTTGCCCACTAATATATTCTATAGCTCTTGCAATAGGTTCTGTTATTAATAAAACATCGCTCAAGATTAATTGCTCTTCTCGATTTAAAACATCAATAGGACTGTTACATTCCGACATGGCTACATATATGAACTTTTCTAAATCGAGATACCTTTTAATCATACTAGGTAACGTGGTCCATCGAATTTCGATATCCAAGATTAATTGTAGTGGAGCCTTTCCTGGATTTTTTTCCATTTGCGCTTTGCGCAGAGCATCGGATGCTGGTGAATTGCTCCTTATTTTATTAATTATTTGATGCATTTTCTCTAAAATAATGTCGAGCTTTGATTTTAGATTTTTTTTATTTGCATTATTTTGATTTGAATTTTCAAGCTTATTTGATGAATCTATAGTCTCATTTCTCTGAGTGCATCCGGTATGATGTGTGATACTTTATGAGCTATGCAAGTCAAGTACTTATCTACACCTGTACATAATATATGAAATTACATAATTTAGTATGAAATAAGTAATATTTTGAATACTTTGAATAATTAAAAATTTCTCACCAACTGTTTCTATAGCTGCATTCTTAATCGCTTGTTCGCCATCAGTGATAAGCAGACTAATTTTATTCATATCAATCTTGAACTTATCAAAAGATTTTTTGATGCAAGATTCGAGGTAATTTCCGGTATGTCTCTCTTCCAGTGGCATAAGTTGAAGTGCTCTTGTAATCCAATCAAAATTATGGGTAAGATAAGTTATTGTTACTCCCATATACGTCTGAGACGATATGTCTCTCCAGCAGTCTAGAGTAATACAGTAACTAATTGAATTTTCCAAATCGTTCACCAATTTTTCCTTGAAAAAACCATACTTGTTTTCTAATTTTTGAACAATACTTTTTGGTGACGGTATTTGATATAAGGGAGCAACAATTTTAACGAAAGCTTGTAATCCAAGTTTTGCAGTTAAATTCAAAGGCTGCATATCTTTGCAAATCATAAATAAGATAAAATTTGTAATCTTATCATTTTCGCAACCATCTGTAAAAATGAGAAGTGTAACATTATTTGAAATTCTGAATAATAAGTCTATGATGATTAAGGTGTCCCTTATTATGATAATGATTATAATCATTATCATAATTTAATTATCATAATCATTATTATAATTTTCAAATCCACCGACCGGACCTAGTGGACTTTGCAGAGCATGGCTGTATCTACAAATAGAATTGAAAATTGTTTCAAACGAATTGAGTCATTCAAAAGTATGTATAACATCATGGATATCATAACACAGCTCTACAAAAAAAAAAAAAAAATTTTCAAATCCGCCGACCGGACCTAGTGGACTTTATGTTTTTTGGATCGCTGAATCCGAATCCGGGGTCGGTTTTTCAAGGTTAGCTCATTTTAGAGGTCATTTGAAGGTCAAATAATGGGAAAAGGGTAAAAAATTTGAAAAAATTCATACATAGGTTTTTGAGGATGCTGAATCCAAATCCGAGGTCGGATGACCTTTAGGAGGTCACTTTCAAGGTCATTTGAAGGTCAAACTACGAGAATTCAATAAAAGTATCCGAAAAAATCACACTTACGTTTTGAGGGTCGTTCAATCTAAATTAAAGGTCATTTTGACTGTATCCGGCTTTGTAAAGGTCATTTGAAGGTCATTTTAGGGTCAGATCACGAAAAAAGCTTAGAAAAATCTGAAAATACTCATTCATACGTTTTTAAGGATGCTGAACTCAAATCTTAAGTCAGATGACCTCTATAAAGTCACCTTCAAGGTCATTTTAATGTTAAATTTATTTAAGGCGATAAAATATTGGAAGAAGTTTGTGCTTAGTTTTTTAAAACTGAATTTACTTTTTAGTCTGAGACATTTAGCGAGCTTACATTCTGGGATGGAGCTGTTTTTTTCCCTATTCAATAAATATAATACATTTTTTCTAAGCTATTTCCCCGCAGTAAAGCAACCAAAAAAATCTCTTCATTTTTTAACAATCAATTTTTACTTACGTTATTATAAAATTTACCTCAATTTTGTTGACATAGCTTCAGGTAAATTTTTTATAGGACTTCTTTATATGTGAATATAATATAGGCTATTTTATTTTTCACTATAGAATTGGGTCACAAAATTTGAAAAATTCTTCATCAATGGATTTTTCTTTGATTAAAACGAATGCATTTTAAAATTTTGTGAAACAATGTCTGAGAGTGTAAAAATAAATTCACTATAAGTATATCCTATTGACAAAGTAGAGATGAGCCAGGTGGATTGGCATGGGGAGTAAATTGACAAATCGGCATATTTTTTCATATTAATGCACCGTTTTCGTTCGTGACATTGATATGGAGAAATATGCGGTTCTGTTAACTTACCTCTCATTCTGACACACCTTTTTCTCTTCTAGTCTTTACCTGCTGCCTCGATAAGTTTGATGTCGGTGACAACTGCCCGAAATGGGATGTGTAGAATGATCCGCTCATCAGCTTTTCGAGGTAACGATGCCAGTGGAAGGGCACTGCCTTGCAGGGGGGCGATAGAGTGTGAGGATGAAGCCGTAGTGTGTACGACGACGAGTTGACATTGTCCTCGTCAAAGTCGGAAAGCCCTTATACTTAGCCCTGGAGAGGTATACGGGTTATCACCTCCAGGACGGTGGACTCACCTGCAATCGGACCAGGGTCCCTATCGTGCGGGTTTAATTTATTATCATGGAAAACATTCAATTAAAATCTACATCTTCCTCTCAACACATTTGTCCCAAAAATGTTGATGCATTTTGCTATGTCTGCTCGGAATTTATTCCTAAAAAAGAACATCGGCGAACACTCAATAAAAAACTAGAAAGTATTTATAAAAATTGCTTCCAATTAAATGCGGAAATAGTTAAACAAAAATGGATTCCTAATAGTGTTTGTCCAAAATGTCGCCAAATGTTCAGTCAGTGGGAACGTTCAAAAGAAGTTGATAAACTGAAGTACAGTCGACCAATTGAATGGAATCAACCTTCAAACGCAGATGACTGATATTTTGGTAAGATTGATGTTCGAGGGTATAATTCTGCAAAAAAAGATTCAATCAAATACCATCTGGTGAGTTCAGTTAGAAAAGCTGTTGAGAAAGGGGAACAGGAAGATGTCGATGAATATATGAATGTTCTTGAAACTTTATTAATTGAATCTGAACCTGAAGACTGCAATGTTGAAGAGAAGATAACAGAAGACGATAAAGAAGAATACGACAGTAATTATGACTTTTCTGAATCAGAAGAGGAAATAGAGGATTTAAGCAATGAATTTTTACCAGGTACAGAAAAATCTTTAATAGTGAAAAAATTCACACAAGCTGAATTGAATGATTTAATAAGAGATTTAGGGTTAGCTAAAGATGGAGCAGAGTATTTAGCTTCCACTTTGAAAATCAGAAATATGTTGGAAAAAGGTACAAATGTATCTTATTATCGAACAAGGAATGATAGTTTTAAACAATTTTTCGAAGAAAAAGAGTTTGATGATGAGAAATTGGTTGTTTGTAAGAATGTTGAAGGACTGATGGGAGAAATTAGAACTAATATCTATAAAACCAATGAATGGAGACTTGTTCGAGAAATATTCGGACAGGTATGAGCGAGAGGCTTGTACATGCACACGTTCACGTGCTGTACAAGCGTCGATGTGATTCTCACTGCGCGGCGAGAGATGGCGTCGCGCCGCGGCACGTGCCGACGGCATCTCTGCTATCTGCGCATTGTTCGCGATCTCGTCCTTCTCGTTTCTGCACTCGACTAAGCTACATCTCGTGTGTGTCTCGTGCGAAGACTTTTTTCAACTGCGAAAATCCCCGACGTCACCTCAACAGAAGCTACATCGAGCATCATCGCCTTGGACAGCTTCATCGATTCAACCGCTCTAGATCGTCTCAACAAGTGCAATTCAGTCAACAAGGACGTTTTGGCAAGCTCCTTTCAACGCTCTACTCATCGAAGCGCAACTCATTGGTCTGCGAATCGGAGTCAACTCATCGATTGCGACCAGGTAAAGAAACCATCCAGACTGCAATTGAAGACCAATAATGTCTACTGCAGGCCTGGTGGAATCTTTTTGTCATCACCTCAACTCTCGGGATTATTTCGGCGCATCTCAATCGTACGAGCACACGACGAGTGAAAGTGAGGTTACACGTAGCCATGTGCAATCTCACGTGAACTCGGCCAACTCATCCGGTTGCTCACACCTGCGCACGAGAGGATTAATTTAACCTCTTGCGTTGTGCTCCGGTCTGCTCACAAATCAACTTCAACTCGCTGTGAACTCAAGAGAAGCGTTGCTCAACTCAATGGCCACAGCTCACAGCAAATCAGAGTGGATTAATAAAATCAATCCTTGCATAAACTCTTTGAAAATTAAGTGTGAATTAATACAATCTCGCTTCACGTCGACCGCTCAAGTTATCTTTACATTTACTGACAACTCAAGTGTTAAATCAAGCATGATATCAGTGAACTCAATTACGTTATGATTGTTATCAACATTTTCAATGTCTAGACTCAGTTTTTATTAAATTAACAGTGATTTTGAGTGATTAATAAAGAAAATTGTGAAAATAGAAGAAATTTATGAGATTTTGCAGTGTTTTCTTTTGAGACCTGATCATGCACCCATCCAACTTATTGTAATTTGTTTAAACAATTCTCAAACAGAGACTATTTATTGACTCTTCAAAAAGGAGTTTGAAAGTTGTATTGTTGCATAACACTAATAAATATGCGTCCACTCCTATTGCTCACAGTACAACTATGAAAGAAACATGTGGAAGTATGAAGATACTATTGGATAGCATCAAATACGATGAATATAAATGGATGATATGCGGGAATTTGAAAGTATTGGGTATGTTAATGGGACAGCAATGTGGATTTACGAAGTACCCATGTTTCAAGTGCTTATGGGAGAGCAGAGATCGTAAAAACCATTACACTGACCACAAATGGCCTGAGAGAAATTCTCTAGAAATTAGAGATCATAATGTTATTAACAGTCCGTTAGTCGATCCAAAAAAAGTTTTGCTACCTCCTTTGCACATTAAATTAGGCATTATGAAACAATTTGTAAAAGCTCTAAATGAAAGTGATGAATGCTACAAATATTTAGAATCTAAGTTTTCTTATAAATCTGATGCTAAATTGAAAGAAGGAATATTCGATGGACCAGAAATAAGAAAAATGCTGAAAGATGACAATTTCCCAACTAAGATGACTGTGGTTCAGAAAGCTGCATGGGATAGCTTTAAAAATGTTGTAG